AACTCACTGCTCACTCCAGGAGAGTGGTGGGATTCAATTTTTTTTTACTAACAGTTGTGTGGGCGTGGCTTGGTGGGTGTGGCTTGGTGGGTGTGGCAGGGGAAGATTACTGCAAAATCTGCATTCCCTCCCCACTCCACTAACCTGCTTTCCAGCTCCGTTCTCCTGTGCAGGGCAACCAAAGAAGACCCAACCAATCAGCTGTGACTCGGGAGGCAGAGAATAGATGGGGGCGGGGCCAGTCAGAGGCGGTATTGGCCGGTTCTCTGAACTAGTCAAAATTTCCGCTACCGGTTCTCCAGAACTGGTCAGAACTGGCTGAATACCACCTCTGCTCCAGGAGTTCGATCCTGACCAGCTCAGAGTTGACTGAGCCTTCCATCCTTCCGAGGTGGGTAAAATGAGGACCCAGATTGTTGGGGGCCATAAGCTGACTCAGTAAACCGCTTAGAGAGGGCTGTAAAGCACTGTGAAGAGGCATATAAGTCTAAGTGCTATTGTTATTTCTGCCATTGGTCCTGTGAGAAATGATTATTCGATGGGAAGTTTGGTTCCAGATGATGACCTGAGATTTCCTTAAAGCCTTAAAAGCATCACAAAAATATGAAAGAAGAAAAACAGTTTTGTAGATGTCTATTAGTGCTTGTATGGAAAATTCTTAGTTTTATCACAGCCAATTATGGAACTGGATAAAGAAAACTTTACTTTTAGAATGTGTACAATAAAAGGATAACCTAAATTTATTTATTTCGTGTATGGCATATCATACATAAACTGGCGATATATATTAACATTTCATCTAGATTAATAAAACACAATCGAATATAAATGTTAAAAAGATCTATTGTTTAAATACCAACTTAAATACAATCCATGGAACAAATAGCCACATGAGACGTTTTCCCCCTCTAGTGGCATAATGGCAGCATTGCACTCATTTAAGTTTCCCAAATAAGCACAGGTAGTCCTCGACCTACGACCACAATGGAGCCCAACGTGTCTGTTAAGTGAGACATTTGTGAAGTGAGTTTCGTCCCACTTTAAGACTTTTCTTGCCACAGTTGTTCATTGAATCACTGCAATTGATTAGTTAGTAACCCGGTCGTTAAGTGAATCTGGCTTCTCCATGGACTTTGCTTGTCAGATGGTTGCAAATGGGGAGCACGTGACCGTCATAAATATGAGTCAGTTGCCAAGTGGCTGCATTCCGATCACGTGACCACGGGGATGCTGCAAAGGTCGTAAGTGTGAAAAACGGTCATAAGTCACTTCCCTCAGGGCCGTTGTAAGTTTGAATGGTCACTAAACAAATGGTTGCAAGTTGAGGATTACCTGTACAGGTAGTCCTTGATTTATAATGGTTCATTTAGTAACCGTTCAAAACTACAAAGGCACTGAGAAAGTGAGATGACCATTTTTCACGCTTATGACCTTTGCCTCAGAGGTGGTATTCAGCGGGTTCTGACCAGTTCTGGAGAACTGGTAGCAGAAATTTTGAGTAGTTCGGAGAACCGGCAAATACCGCCTCTGACTGGCCCCGTCCCCATCTATTTTCTGCCTCCCGGGTCCCAGCTGATTGGCTGGGTCTTCTTTGGTTGCCCTGCATAGGAGAACGGAGCTGGAAAGCAGGTTAGTGGGGTGGGGAGGAATGGGGATTTTGCAGTATCCTTCTCCTGCCACACCCACCAAGCCACACTACGCCCACCAGGCCACGTCCACAGAACCGTAGTAAAAAATTTTGAATCCCACCACTAAGCATCCCCATGGTTAAATGGTCAAAAATTCAGATCCTTGGCAACTGGCATGTATGGATGATGGTTGCAGTCCTCTGGTGTCATGTGAGCACCTTCATCCAAATTGAAAAACCTTCATCCTCAGTGTCTATGGAGATTCTCAGTCCTCCAGGTCATGGTTGTCTCAATAGTGCTTTTTCAAGAGGCAACTGGACTTTCTGGTTTTTTTCTTTGAAGACGTTTTGCTTCTCCTCCGAGAAGCTTCTTCAGCTCTGACTGGATCCTTCCATTCTCTACCATCCAGTCAGAAGTGAAGAAGCTTCTTGGATGACAAGTGAAACGTCTTCAAAGAAAAAGAAGAAAGTCCAGTTGTCTCTTGAAAAAGCACCTTTGGGACTTCCATCCTCAGTCTTTTTTGCAAAGGGCCCACTGATCTCCTGGCTGAATCAGAAATTCCCTCTATTCATCTCTTGTAAAAGTCCCTTGTCCATCTCTACCTCCCCTTCTTTTATTGGGTAGGACCTGTATCAAAAAGCAGCATTTTGTCTTCTTTTGATCTCAACGTTTCTCTCGGAGGGCCTTTGCCTTTATCCACAAACACTTTTATAAGCCACTAGCTGGATACCCGTGCTTCATGACGAAACTTTGTGATTGGGCTATGCAGGAGAAATTTGGGTCACAATCCGTTGGCTCAGTGGTGGTCGGTGATTGAAACTCATAAAGGAATATCACTCCTGCTTCCTTGAGTCCAGAAACAGTTCCATAGGTGGAAGGCGTAGACATTTTTGGTGAGGTACCAACATTTACTACTGTAAGGAGCCCCAGGCCACTCCTGAGTGAAGGAGTGCAATGTCTACCAGTTTGAACTGAGGTAACGGAATGTGAGGCAACTGGCAGTTGGAACAGAGTTCTTTTCAGGTGGGGAGGGGGAGTAGAGCTCCTTAGCATCAGAGCGTGTTAATTGCTGTATTAAGAAATAGTAATGATCTGATGGTCATTTTGAAAAATCCTTTCTTATCGTGCACCTAGAAGGCAAGAGGAACATACGTGCCAAATTTCAAGTTTGTAGGCTTTACGGTTCTGGAGATTTCGTGGTGAGTGAGTGGTACTTGGCATCCCATTCTTCTCCTCAGATTGGTTGGTATCGTTGTCTGTCAAACTGAAAGTATATAGCCCAGCCTTGATTTTGTATATCTGGCTAAAATAAACTGCATACAGGTAGATTCCTCAAAGAATAACTTTATTGGAAATATCATATTGGCACAGTTGAAGTCCACACTTCCTCCTTCCCCATCTGGCAATGATGAAGTTACCTAATTGGGTAATAAAATGTCTGCAAGACAACGACCAAGCTCAGAGAGCAGCAAGGACCCTTCATTTCAACCCTAATCTACAAATATTCTTCTTTATTGGTTCTTTGGCATCTAAATCTCTTTCCTATCTTTCTAGAAGGAACAACCGCCTGTAGTGTTAATTGGATTAAAATATAGTAAGCCCACAAGAATACATTTTGAATGTTACAAAAATATTTTATTAACATAAATAGATATATAAAATAATAAAATAACAGGAAGAAACCATTCCATGCTGCCAACAAACATCTAAAAGAGGAAAATAGCTGCTCTTTATGTCAATAATGAATCAAACTTTGTAGGTAAGGTAAGGATAGCTCTTGAGTGCCTCACCCAGATTTTAAAAGACCACAAGGCTCAATCTTCCTGAGTCGAAACAGTTAAAAAGAGTCCTTCATAGCATTGAGAAGATATAAATAAAAGGAATAGGAAATTTCATGGTGTCCTATGAAAAATAAGGATTTCCCCTCAAAATGTGCGTCCAGCACTTTTGCTATAATTCAGCAATCTTGACTTCCATTCATTGTTCCAAAACGGGGAGTTTTAAAGAAGAGATTGGATAACCCTTTGTCTGAAGTGGTATAGGGTTTTCCTGCCTAAGCAGGGGGTTGGACTAGAAGACCTCCAAGGTCCCTTCCAAACTCTGTTATTCTATTCTATCCTGTTGAGCAGAAACCCAAGATATCATGAGCTTTCCTAGCCACTAGCCTTCTTTTACAACACGTAACTTAATTCTCACCAAGCTATCCACACTGATCTGGTTGCCGGACATCTTACAGATAGTTCCCGACTTACAACAGTTCATTTAGTGAACGTTCGAAGTTACAACCAAGTTACAACAATCAAGAGCCATGGTGGTGCAGTGGTTAGAATGCAGTATAGCAGGTTAACCCAGGAGTTTGATTGTCACCAGGCTCAAGGCTGACTCAGCCTTCCATTCTTCCAAGGTGGGTAAAATGAGGACCCAGATTGTTGGGGGGCAAGAGGCTGACTCTGTAAAACCGCTTAGGGAGGGCCGCAAAGTGTTATATAAGTGCTATTGCTACAACGGCACTGAAAAAAATGACTTATGACCATTTTTTCATACTTGGTCATAGGATCAAAATTCAGAATGATTGGCAACTGACTCATATTTACGACACTTGCAGTGTCCAGAAGTGTACAGTGTGACCCCCACTTGGCAACCTTCTGACAAACAAAATCAGTGGGGAACCCAGATGGACTTAACCACCATGTTACTAACTTAAGAACTGCGGCGATCGACTTCACAACTGGGGCCAGACAAGTCCTAAAACGGGGCAAAACTCATTTAACAAACGTCTTGCTTAGCACCAGAAACGTTGGCCTCAACTGCGGTCGTAAGTTGAGGACTACCTGTGTATGTGTAGTGAAGAAAAATAAATACTCTCAAGTAGGCATGGATAACTTGGCTAATGACCATTTTGAAAAAGGGAGGGAAGGCTCACGTGTGCTTGGAATACATACTCTTTGGTCCAGGGGTGGGATTCAGCCGGTTTGGGCTGGTTTGGGCGAACCAGATGTTAAATTTACATCTGGTTCGCTGAACCGGTAGTTGAACTGACCAGCTGGCCCCACTCGCCCCGCCCCACCCCTCCACGTGGAGTCTCCATGTGGCCTATTTTGGATGCGGGTAAGTGTAGGATTCGCGCAGAGGCTGTGGGAGAGCGAAAAATGGCCCTTCCGGAAATGCAGAAACGGGCCTGTTTCTGGCTTCCGGAGGGCCTCCAGAGCCCAAGGGAGGCTGTTTTCACCCTCCCAGAGGCCTGAGGGAAGCCTCCGGACTCTGGGGAAGGTGAAAAACAGCCCTCCCGGAAGTTCTGGTAAGCCACGCCCACCCAGCAACCAGGCAGAGAACCGGTTGTTGGGATTTTTGAATCCCACCCCTGCTTTGGTCTCCAAGAATGGTCTCTTCACCCCTGGTTTTGTAGGGTGGTGGTGGTGGTGGTCTCTTTAATGGTGTGAGGTGTACATCCTGCATAAATAGGGGCTCTCAGAAGGAGCCCCGTTTGCTCCCAGCTGTATTAAATATTGAGGAGAGTAGAAAAAGTCTTAGTTCTAAGTCCTACTTGGTCCAGATCTGGAGTAAGTGTCCGTCTTCCTCTTGGAGATCAGGAGCTTCCTCAAGAAAGGAGAAAAACTATAAAAAGCAGGAGACTCGTTGACATAATAGTGTGATGGGCCAAGGTAAAGTGGCTGGCTTGGCTCCTTGGAGATGGTTTTAGCTGTCCATCAATGATCAAGCTGTTGCACTGATCACCAGTACAACAGTGGGTTTCTACGCTGCCTAGGTTCTTGTAGATGGAGGTGTAGGGACTGTCGCACCAGGAAGGGGATGCACAACCTTTGACCACTGAATAGTTCCCAGAGATGCCTGAATGAGGGAGAAAGCGAGAGAGAAACTGAGTCTTCCATTCCCACTTGAACCATACCATGGAAGGATGCAGTCTTA